TTGAAAAAATTAACTTGAAAAATCCGGGAAATTGTGAAATTTTTAACTTTCGAAAATAATTTTTTATCTTTTTGGCTGAACTCCGTTGTAAAAAAAGATTCTGACCAAAATTCGTCCAAATCAAAAATGGTCGATTGCAACTATTGGTCGATTTGACATACATATATATTATATACTATGTATGTATATGAAAATATATCAGTATTCAAAATTGCTGCACACATATAAACACACGTCAACGAAATTACTAACAAACACCCACTTTCACGAAAAAAGTCCAAAAAATGCTAATTCTATTACCTATGACTAATGCCGAATTTCCTCTCGGCGTTATATCGACAAAAAATATTTGCCATTTAAAGATGCTATGTGGAAACATAATGTTTTTATGAATGGCACGGGTATTTTCGAATGCCCAACATAGTCATTAAAAATGCTGTAATTTAATGCCTACTGGAAATTCGGCATTATACAATACATAAATTCATGAAAAACAACTTTCAAAAAAACTCAAAGATTTAAGGTGTGTCATGAGCTGAGAAAAAATTAGTTAAAAAAATATGACTACAGTATTGTTAATGTACATTTATTGTTAATTAATAGTAAATATTTATATGATGATTTATTGGTGTTACATGTATTTTGTGTTGTATAAAAAAAGTAATTATCATTTATAAAAAAAAATTGTTTAAATTTTATAACACGGTTTTACAAACTTTATCACACAATTACAACAAAAAATTGCGTTTATTTTAAATTAATATAAAAATTTAATGCAGTGGTGAATTTTCCTGTGATAAAATAAAAATTCAAATGTTTTATTTTTTCGCCGTTTCTAGTTCTTTAGTGCATATGTCTCTTAGTGTATGTACGTATGTATGTATGTATGTATGTGTATGTATGTACTTAATTTTGACTGTCAAACTTGTGTGTACTATAACATTTAAATAATGCCTTTTGTTACACTTGAAAAGTACTCGTAAGTTCATCGCTTCAGGTTTTATACTTTGTCATATTCCATTTCTGATATTAAAAAAACAAAATTGAAAAACAAAATTAACTGTATTTAAAAAGTTGAAAAAGCGTTATTCATATATTTTTTTTAGAAACACAAATGCAAAAGCAAAGTACAAACAACGTTGCAAAATGTCGCGAAAATGTTGTAACTCGTAACAGAAAAGCAATATGGCGGTGACTATGTTCCTACCAAGCAAAGTATTAAACAATTTAATTTCTTAAATTATTTTATTTATATTTCTTCACTGCAAATGAATGAATGAACGCATATAAATAATATTTAGTACTTTTTAATATTTACATTATTTTTAACTTTGCGCATATTTTTCATGGCATCTTTTTCCATTAATTTCATGCTAATTCCATTCCAAGTCAAATTGATGGCAATAAAAGCAAAACAGGCAAAATGCTTGCTTAATCGCAAATTGACAAAATTTGAAAAAATAAAATCCTCATACATTAATTACATCGGTTTTTTTCTGGAAAATTTAGCTCTAAATTTTTGTTTTTCAAAACGCACTGGATATGAACATATTTTTATCTTAAATATTTACTTAATTTACATAAAGCGATGTAGTATGTTTTAAAATTATGTATCAAAGTGTGCCGGATAAAATGGGACTCGAAATTTGAAAGAGATTTTTTTTATTAACTACATATGTTTTTAGTTTTTAGCCAAGAAGTAGACTATCTTAAAATAATTTTCAAATAATGAAACATAAGCATACTCATCTAGGCCAATTTCAGATGAGCAACTTAAGTGCCGATTAATGATTAAATCAAGGAATGAAACCGAAACCCAAACCGAAACCGTAACCGTTTAAAACCGTTTCGTTTTACAAAACCGAAACCGAAACCGTAACCGTTATCTTGACCTGAAAAGGAACGATACCGAAACCATTTCAATCACAGGTTTCAATCGGTTTTCCAGAAATTTACAAAAATAATAAATAAAAATTTCTTTGAAATAAATGATTTATTTAACCAAAATCAGCAACATTTTGCTAAAATTCTTGTTAAGTAGTAAATAAGTATGGCAAGTTACCAAAAATCTGCTGATGACTTTGTTGTTGTGAATCGATAATCGATTAATTATATTTAAGTAGTTTCTTTCCCGTACGCAATGCGAGATCCCGCGTGTGCCCAAAAAAACCCAGAAATCATTCCTGTACTCAACAAAATGCGTAATAGAGAGGGAAAATTCGAGCGTATTCGGAATTTTTCTCCGGGTAAAAATGGATAAAGTGTCAAAGTGCATATCAGCTGTATTGTGTTTACATGTTGCTTGCATTTACTTGGTGATTTTAAGGAAAAGTGAATGGCCTGTTGATGTATTTTCAATCTATGTACTTAAAATCAAATTTGTGGAACCAAAATTCAATTTCCAAGTGTTTGCATTTAATACCATGTTCTGACCGACAACCAAAACATTTATCCTTCATTTTCTTTTCATTTACAACCTTTAACTTTCATTCTTATTTTGCTTTGGCCAGGCAATTAACAATAAATCCGAAATGGCGTATTAAAGATGATAAAATATGACTTCCACTTCGATAAAGAATCGAGAAAAACTAGTGAAGACACCGATTGGAATGAGTGGAAAGTGAGTTTTCAAGTAGTTTTCAGCGAAAACTGGTTTTCGTTTAATAGATTTTATATGGACGAAAACACAAGTTTCAGGTCGAAAACCAGTTTTAGCAACGAAAACATGTTTCCGATGTCGGTCAGAACATGGTATAAGTGACAAAAACAAGAACAACGTGAATCAGCTGTTTCTCGACTTGTGGGTACGAAATGTGGGTTTTTGCGTTTCCGTACTTCTGAACTTTGTTCCATTTTTGAAAGAAAATGTTTCTCTTATTCTCTAATTACCAAATCCGGTCCGGATTGTTAGGGAAAGAACCTAGTGTTGATATTATCAGTGAACTGTAATTTTCGATTTTCTATCCTCAACGTTTAAGACATTGTGATTTAAATAATATCAACAAAATTTCTGTGAAAAACCGAAACCGGAACGAAACCGAAACCAAAACCGAAATAAATTTTGAAGAACGAAACCAAAACCGAAACCGAAACACTTGGCAAAACCGAAACCCAAACCGGAACGTTATTTTGAATCGGTTTCATTCCTTGGATTAAATACTAAATTAAGATTAATATTAAGGAAAGAGATCAAATACTTAAACTCTTTTAAGTTAATATTAAGATTACGATTAAGATTAAATAAAGATTAAAATAACATTTAAATTAAGATTAAGGTTGAGATTAAGATTTGTTTTGCATACGGTTACTATTAAAATTAAAGTTTAGATTAAGATTAGGATTAGGATTGATGTTGAGGTTGGGATTAAAATTAAGATTAAATTACTATTAAGATTAAGGTTAAATGTAAGATGAAGGTTAAGATTAAAATAAAGATTAAGATTAATATTATGATTATGATTAAGATTAAAGTTAAGATAAAGATTAAAGTTCAGATCAAGATTGAGATTGAGATTGAGGATGTGATTAAGATTACTATTGAGATTAAGGTTAAAATTAAGGTTAATATTAAGATTAGGTTCAGACTATAATTTAGATTAAGAATAAAACTACGATTAAGGTTAAGATTGAGCTTAAGATTAATATTTATATTACGGCTATGATTACGATTAAAATTACAGTTAAGATTAAGAATAAGGTTAAGATTGAAATTGAGATTGAGGTTGGGGTCAAGATCAAGATTGAGAGTGGGGTTAGAATCAGATGAAGATTGAGATAAAGTTTGAGATAGATGTTGAGATTACGATTTAGATAACTTTTCATTGTTATACAGCTCTTTAGCAGTGAAATCTAAGATTTAGTACCTAATGTATTTCAAGGAACATTTCCAAACTTTTTCGAAACTCCTAAATAATCCAAAATGTTTGCATGTTATTAATCTCCGTTACCTGTAAGAGAGTCTACTTTTAGCGTGAATCTTCAAAAAAAAAACACCAAACCGATGCATTAAAACTGGCACACTTTTTTAAATTTATTTTTTTACTTTCGTTTCTTAATGCATTTTGTTTAGCTAAGAAGCGTGTATTTACTTGCTTAAATTGCTGCTAATTTTCTAATTTTTTCTATAACAAATAATGTTTTATTTACACGTATGTCGAAATGTACTTGTATTTGTGCTACTTTCTCAAGCAAACAAGTAATCTGTCGCTAATGCCCGAAAACGCTTAAATCTTATGGAAATTTATATGTGTAGATAAGTCAAAAAGCGAAAAAAAAATATTTTTTTTTAATTATTAAAAAAAATGTTTGTCCCCCAAACCCTCAAAATTTTAAAAAACCTAAAATTCGCTTATAAATTTCCATAACTGGCGCTTTTTCTACGCCACTATCTTTCCACCTAAAAAAAAAAAAACTTAACTGCATATTTACTTTCTCTGGAAATCTATGAGCTGTATACAATTTCCAATCTTTAATTTTCGCATCGTACTTGTCCTTATTCGGCTTTCTTCGTACACTTATCATGCAAAAAAGTGCTGATTTGGCAATGACTTGCACGCTACGCTTGTACGCCCAAAACTATCTAATTCTAACTAACTAACTAACTGTCCCACATATTTAGCCGCAGCGCCCTCAAAGCAACAAACAGCTTAAGCCTGAAATGCATTCTTTAAAAAGCAGTAGTTTTGCATCATTAGTAAGCAATAAGAAAAATAAAAGTCATAATTAGTGCAAAGAAGTATAGTAAACCACTTTCAAACTTCAATCGGCAAAATGTGCTTTTTCCAAACTAACCCAACTAATGATACGAAACTTATGCTAACGAATTGCGTTTGAAATATTCTATATCCTATACTTAATAATAAATATAAAAACCAATTTAAATAAATAAATATTTTATGAGTGAATCTTTTTTTGTATCTTTTTCATGTAAAATAATCTGTCTACTTCTTCCCTTTCTTTACCATTCATACTCGTACATGCGCTAACACAAACATACACAGGTTCTCGAAGACCAAGTCTAGCGTCGGTTCATAGTACTAGTTCGTCCGTGCGTAGCTATAGTATGATGCGTTTCGAGAAGGAAGCTCAACAGAAGGAGATCCGTCAGGAGATGAAATTACGTTTGGCGCGTCTACAACAACAACAACATCTAAATCAAAATAAACCGCAAATTGTAATTGGTGATACATTGCAACATCATATGGGTGCATCATCGGCGCTCAGTCG